TATAGCGGCTCAGCGTGACTTCTTGCGATACTGCTGTCGCGGTATCTGATTGGCTAAGATCTTTGCATTCCCGTGCACTCATTTGTTGCCGTTATCTTCGAGCACAGATGCCTCGCGAACGCAATCCACCATTATTTTTTGTGCGTAATGTGGAGCGTGTGGTTACCAGAGCTAAGCTTAACCGGAGTCAATTTTTGCGGTTTACGGTTACAATGTTTAGATTTGGTAGTTAACGAACATCGAGGCGTCAAGTGAAGAAGGGTCTTTAAAAGATATGCAGAGGTATAGATGAGGAGGTTGATCACCTTTGTCCGAACGCCAAGCACTCTAGAACGGATGAATGGAACACGGAGTGGTCTTCTGACGGTTCGATAGAATTTACTTATAGTGACAGGGAAAGTATGAGCCCACCACCTTCGCCTGGTCTTGAAGACAAACCAGCCATGTATGATTTTGTTTTTGCTGACGGTCAACTATTTAAGTCACGCCTGCTTGAACTACTGAATCAAAGGCCACATAGCTTAAACACTTACTTGCCCAGTGAATACTCTCAGGGGCGCAGAGCTCTGAGCGACTGTGATTCTTGGAAGGGTACTGAGTTAAGATAATATTTTGCTGTACACAAGAGCAGCTGTCGTGGAGGACATACTGCAAATTCAGTACTTTAAGCATTACCCTATTTTGTTTACGGCTACAAGGTTGTTTGCTTCACCCCTCATGTGTGCAAATAACGTCGGTTACGGTAGAAAACTTCTTAAATTGTTTGCGCGTAAATTTCCTGCTATGGTTTACAATGTCCTCTGCATAATGCACATTGTTGATGACATCGAATGTAATGGACTACTAGATTCCTTCCCATCTTTTCCATCCCAGAGTCACTTACTTAGATTGAAAGGGGTTCTACGAAGTCCTTCGAGGCCCTTACAGCGAATAGGTAGGCCAATTTGCGAAATCCGCGACCAGGAAAACACAAAGGTTTATGCCCAAGCACAGAAGGGGCCTTGTAAGAGAAGATTTAAAGATCCATGAACGATACATGTGTCCACTTGGTAATCGGTCTCATGTGGATACTTCAATGGTCAATAGGTGCATATCCATAAAGGATAAAACAGCAAGGGTTATGAATATTTTACAGGACAGGACAGAATGAGCTTAAGTAGTTTACAGCGGGTTCCCCAATTTGTCCGATTACTCCATGCACCCCGCGGAATCATCCAGTTTACATATTTACGTAGGTGTCACTTCCCGTACCATCACATATGCCAGGCTACCACACTCGTTATCTTAGTAATTTTGCCGTCCTCACCATGTATCTTACGTTTTAATCGAAATAAAAGGCAAATGATTTCTCAGAGCGAAACGCTAACACCATCCATCCTGTCCTCATGGAAGGTACTCGTCAAGATTTACAGCAAAAACAGTATGATGGTAAGTGGTTTACGAGCACCGAGGGAGGTGGCAGTTGAAGTAGTAGGGCGATCATAAATCCTGATTCAACTTAACACCCTTTTTTGTGTGGGTGTAGACCTTTGTACCCATGAACTCCAACAATAATCACGAGGAGAGACGACGGATAATCTGCAGTCCCTACGACGATCCGGTGTGCTCGCCCAACGACACACTGGTGTCTTTATTGGTACGTTCCATGCTGCCGCGGTGGATAGCGAGTCAGACAGAGTCCACTGAGACACTGTCTGCGCGCAGACAACACTTTCACCAAGGTAATGTAGTGTAGTGAAACTGAACTGCCCCTTTGTTCTACTTAGTTAAATATGCCTTCCGTAAACTTAACACAACTTTTAAGCAACACACTGAACAAGCACGTGCTTTTATCTGCAAACGACTTTGTTCTTATTTACTAGTTTG